CCCCCCTGGAAAAAACTCCACCAGCCGCCACTTTTTACACTTTTACCCGATGCTATTACAACATCCAACTGAATTGCTTGTAAAGCGGGGAGAATGGCGCTAGGCTTACCGCACCGTGACGTCACTGCCGGAAGATGGCAGGAGGGAGGGGCTACTATATTTGGGCAAAAATGGCCGCTCCCAGACTGGGAAATTTTACTGATTAACGCTTAATTCATTAAATCACTGCAAACATATTAGTTTTAGGTATAAATAATGACTTTTCCTTTGAAAGAGAACTTTATCTGCCAAAGGTGTGAATTATTTGGCCATTTATTCCAACAAGTCTTGCAAAAGTCTTTTTTTTTTCATGAAATCTTGTCTTTTTTTTATTTTTTTAAGGCATTTTTTTGTTAGAAAAATGTATTCCTTAGCAAGTAAAGAATAAGTCTCATAATGAGCCCCAACTGAGAACAGGGAAAAAAGTGATTTATCTCTGTGGCTCAGATAAAAAGGCAGAGTTATTGGAGTTTGCTGGACGTCGGTTTGCTGGGGGAGAAATCTTAAGATGAAAATAAATAGAAATTATTTCCAGTTTTATTTATTCTGTAGGAATCAGAAGGTCTGATGCTGGGACCTCTTGTCCTCTTGTCTTCTTCTAGACCGATCCCTGGTGCCAGACCCAACGCCGCCTCCCGTCCTCCCCCACGAAAATGACCTCCTCTTCACCCCCCCCACCCTCCCTGTGAAGGAGGGTCGCAGCTGACAGCCTATTTGCACTAAAGTGACTTTAGCTGGTGAACGGGGAGCTGTCGCACGCAGCAGAAGACGACGGATTGACCAACAGGACTCGCACCACGTATAAAACCTCACCCCCTCCCTTCTGCCCCCATCCCCCGCGCGCTTACATTGCCATGACGACGACGCTGCGTTGTGCGGAGGCCTTGCAGACTGAAACATGTTGGCGGCATATTTTACCAAATCAGTTTTAGTTTTACTGATTTCAGTTTTTTAATCTGTTAATGCTGCCCATTTATAAAAGTGCATTTTGTAAGGAGTGTTGCTTTGTTTACACTTTGTTTCATGTCATGTTGAACGATTTGTGTTTTGTGCCAAAGAACTCTTGAAGTACCTGCGGTGTGTCCGGATTGCTGTGAAATCCTGTAAGGTTAACACCACTCC